CCAAAATCCATTTATAAACTGAGAATTCTTATTACTCTGTAGCTCTCAGGTTAAAAGTTTTTTTCAATTACCCAAGTATTCCTCCATAGCTGGTAACCACAATTCATGTTTCAGTTCCTTGGTACAACAAGGCAAAGGTAGAAACATACAATTTGTCTGTTTCATGCTAATCAACTTCTTTACTAGAATATTTGTGAAAATAACAAGCCAGGGGCTGAGTTGTAAGAACTTTCCTTTAAAATCAGCATATTTTCAGAATTTGGTATGTCTTTCCTGATACCTGGGCTGCTGTTTGAGGCCCAACACATTTCCAAGTGCTGTCTCATAATTCAGCACCTAGTTTTTGACTTCTATTTTAATTTCTGGCAAGTTCTCAGATTTTAGATCCACATAACACTTGAAGGTGTGGGGATGTAAGTGTACTGTACAGTCTCAGCTGAGTCAACCTGAAGCCCTTGGGGATCACTGTGAGTGTGTGATTCAGATATTCTTGACTGGGGGGGCATACCTTAATAGTGATATGACGTATAGAGGGGGGCATGCTGTGCTGAGCTCAGCAGCTCTCTCCTCCTTTTTGTGATATATTCCTCCTTCAGAGGAGATGAGGGGATGGCATGGGGATATCCACTGGTCAGGTAGAATAGACAAAGGCAGTGGATACACAACCACACCCAAAGCTACTCCTCATCCTCTCCACTTAGGTTTGGCAAGGACCACATCTCCAGAGCAGCATGCTTGGTCCCACTATCTCCTCTCAGCACTGGGAAGCCTCTCCTCTTTCCAGCTGAATATCCAGGATCTTCATCCAAGTCCTGATGCCTTGACATAGATCAAGTTAAGCTTCATAGACAAGCTCCATTTGCTGATTTGCTGAGCTAATTAAAGCAACCAAAAGGAGTTGCTGAGCTGCTAAGAAAAAGCAAGCCAGTGAGAATGTAGCTCACTGACAGAACCAATCAGCTGTGCTGTATACAATAAGTAGTAACTAATAATATTTGTGATAACAAATAAATTTACTTGCAAACAATTTTCCTTGGTAATTTCCTTGGTAACCTTTAAATTCTTTCTCAACATATATTTTACCAGGAAATTTGCTCGTGGCATTAATACTTCAAGTGAGTGAAATGCCACAAATTGGCAAAGTATTTCACAGCCTGATAAGTCTTAAGGTTAAAAAAGCATGCACTAACTCTTCTTTATATTCCTTTTGCTGTCAGTCATAACCAGTGCCTTTGCACATGACATTTTGTGCTCCATTTCTAAAGATCAGAAATAACACTTCTCCTCTTACATATTTGTTGAACACAGGTAAGTCACCTGTTCATTTGAATACAGAAGGTGGGCTAAGCTTCCTTAATTCCCTGCTAAGTATTTTGTATTTTCAGCTCTTTGAGTGCTTTTTGTTTCAAACCTTATTTAATGTATGAGTCTCTGTCTCAGCCTCTTTGTTCTCTCTAAAGTTTGGGCCCAGGTACCAAAGTACTCACAGTAACAAGAGGAGTAAGGAATTATATGCATTGGCAATAGCACTTCCTGCTTGTCTCTGCAAAAGCCACATTCAATGCTTACAGCTTGCCTCATCCATTTTAGTTTTACCATCAAACTACTACTTGGAAATTCCACCATTAAAGATACAGTTCTACCTGCAGGTAATGGATAAATACGCGGAAGAACACCAGAATGAATATGGAAATAGTCTTTAAATTAGATATTCAAAGAGGTTTTTGGTGTTTTGAGGAATGATAGACCAGGAAGCCTTATGGGTGAACACTATGAATTAGTTGAAATAATAATTTAAAACAAAGTAGCTAAACACTTGGGAGACCCTGACCAAATAGGGGCCAGTGCAGTTCCTGCAGAGAGAAATATTATTGTGCTAATCTCCTAGAACTAACTCCTTGAATATGTTAATAAAGAAGAGCAGCTAGCATAATTTATTCTAACCTCTCTGGGCCACTGACAAAATTCTTTGCAAGAAGCTATGAAGGAAGCTAAGTAGTGATGGATCAAGAAGTGGTGGAGGAAAAGGAGGTGAAGGGCAGGATTAAATGGTCAATTTTGTCATGTCAAAGGATAACAGCAGTGGGCCCCAAGGTTCCAGCTCATCCACTTACTTATTAATCGTCTAGGAAGTGGGAATTGCTGTGAGGCAGCAAAATTTGCAAGGGATAAAAAATAGTTCAGCATAAGTTCAGAGATGTTTGTGTGCAAGTTCTGAAACAAACAGAACTGTGTGACCTACTCACTCTGACAAATGAATTATCAACAAAAGCAAAGTAAGGTATACCAGGTGGAAGAAATATGAATTACTCAACACCTCACAGAGCTCTAAATTAGAGTACCAACTTTAGAAAGGGACCTAGTTATCCTTGTAAATTACTTCAGTAAAGACTTCTGCTTAATGTGCAGCTGTACAAGATAAGCAAACATATTAAGATGCATAAAGAATGAGAACTAATAGAGAAAGGATTAAACTGCCAATGCTATAGTCTGATCTGAAATACTGTGTGCAGTACCAGTGACTCCATCTTATAAACAATAATGCTGATTTAGAGAGGGTTCAGTGAAGGACAATAGGAATGATCAAGAGCATTAAAAAGTGCTCTTATGAAAAAAGATTGAAGTCACTGGGGCTGTTGACCATGAAAAAATGGATGTCAAATTTACAAATTATAATGAAGGCTAAAGTGAATATATGTCTTACAAAACACACACACAAAAGGAGAGGCAAAGCAACTAGAAAGAGGAAAATGGAAAAAAGATACACTGTTTCATATAATTTGCAGTAAGAATGTGAAAATGAGAAAATCTTTGGGGCCAAGAATTGAAGGGGATTCATAAAAAGAGTGCTAGACAAGCATAAGGAGAGTGCCAGACAGAGGTACCCAGAGTTTTCAGGGGTAACAACTGATAGAAACAGCCTTTATTTCAACCAAACTCTGTTAGGGAGGGATAATGTGTCACAGTTTTTCAGACATCTCTACCCTTAAGTTTTGCTGAGCACCTCCCACATAATCATCCTAGAGTCCAGAAGAATACAAAGTATCACACATGATTAATTCCAGATGATTCCTAAAGTTCTATGCAATAGTTACAAATGCCTTCATTTTATATTGGATCCCACTTGCAATTCTAACCATGCTTTATGCATTAGGAGATTTTTAACCTATTTTATTAGTTTCTTACACTGATCTGCACTGAATTTATACACTGCTATTTTTAAAATTTGTAATGTAACAAATGTGGCGAAATAAATCAGAAATCTAAGTATATTATGTCAAAAATTTATCACCCAGAGTTAGCTGATATTATGAAAAAATGTTAGCACATTTTCTTGAAAATATCTATTTTCCATAAAACCACCGTAACTGGCATTATTTATGCTAAAAATTGAAACTTTTTTACTGATTGTGTCCAAAATCTTCCATAGTTTTAAGAGAAGCTGATATTAGACTAAGTAGCCTTTAGCTCCTCATGTAATCTCATTTCACTTTTAAAAACAGCAGCACTCTTTACTAGTCTGATGGAATATTTTCCCCAGAAATAAAGATTTATTCAAAATCAACATTAATATTCAGAGAGCTCCTAAACCAATTCTTTAATACTACTGGGTGCAAGTTATTGGGCACAGTAGATTCTAAAATGCTTAATGGTTTTTGTTTCACATCCTTCCCAGTTACTAATAGAATAGAAAGTACTTAATTAATCACTTTAAGAGATGAATAAATCATGCTAATGATGAATACTTCTGTTTTTCCTGCATAGTGATTGACAATTTTGCAGTCCTGGTCAAGTTCTGGATCTCTGCCATTTGAAGGATTTCATTTACTTCTGATTTAGTTAAAATATTCCTTCTGCATCCCATCAGTAACACATTCTTTTTATACCCTTTTAACTTTCCTTGTTAATTGCCTGCTTTTTCTGACTGCTAACTTGGGCCCTTGGGTGAAGTGTTCTCCAAATGCACGTGCTACTGGTCTGTGGCAGCTGCTTCCACCTTCCACAAAGAGTTCTGTACTCTTCTGGCTATGTCACGAGAAACAAGTAGAGTGATACAACTAGAGCAGACCTATGAGAAGAAGCAGCAGGCACTGAGTACCTGGCATTCACATGGCATTTCTCAGGCGTCCTTCCTTGGGACTAGTTCCAGCCAGAACTCCTGGACACAACAGGACCTAGGTAGGTTTGGTGGACGGGAATGATCAAAAGGTTCATTTCAGGAGCACATTACTGACGTGGGTTGACATACTAATGCAGAGAACTTCATAATAAATAAAATCCTTACTGATTTTTACAGGATCTGCCTGGCTGTCTGTACTGGGTCTGGCTGACATGGAGCTTATTTTCCCATAGTAGCCTTCACAGTGCTTTTCACTGGTATCTGGAATGGTGTTGGTAACACACTGGTGTTTTGGTATGGCTGAGCAGGCACAGCATCAGTGCTGTCTGTCAGCATTGCCCCCATCAGTAGGTTAGTGGTGGGCAAGATCCTGGGAAGGGACACAACCATGCCAGCTGACCCAAATTAACCAAAGGGATATTCCACGGGTATGGCAGCAGCTCATACATAAAAGCTAAAGGAGGGAGGAGGAAAGGGGGGCATTCCTTATTTACAATATTTGCTTTTTGGAGCAACCACTGCACGTGCTGAAGCCCTGCTTCCCAGGAAGTGGCTCAACATCACTCGCTGATGGGAAGGAGAAAAAATGTTGTTTTTTTCTCTCTGCTTGTGTGCACTCAGCTTTTGCTTTTGCTCTAGTAAATTGCCTTATCTCAACCTATGAATAATTTCCTATCTTATTTTCTCTTCCCTGTCCATCTGAGAAGGGGTAGGGGATAAGGCCTGGGGGGCACGTGGCATTCAGTGAAGGTCAACCCACCACATTCTCCCTTTCCAAATAACCATTAAAAATTAGACAATTTATCTTTTTTTTTTCTTAGTTGCACATATGGTGGAGATACCTTACATTCCTTCTTAAGAAACATATTTGTTCTTGCAGAATGAATCAATGAACCAGCGCTTTTTTCCTACTGAATCCAACAGAAATCAAAAGTATCTGCTGAAATAAAGGCACGACAATATGGCCAAAGGTAATCTGCAGAGAAAATATACTTCACTATCAAAATTGCAGTTTGGGGGGGTTATATTTAATTAAGAAGCATGAGAGTTATCAAAAGAATCTAAGTGCAGGAAAAGTTTTAGGAGGTTATAATAAGCAGCTTTTGAGTTAGAGGTAGCAAAATATTAAATAAGTAAATTTTCAATCAGGGTAATTTTTAATTGACCTCTAAATTAAAAATAGTTTGATTATACACTGTTTGAAGAAAATTAATTATCCTTCTTTTCCTTCAAAGTATGGAAATTTTAAGGCCAAACCAATTTCTAAGCCAAAGTTAAAGAAGGGCAAATATAGGATTTTAAAAGCTAGGTGCAACCTTAACAATTGGGATAATACTGCTGTTCCATAATAAAGAGAAGGTAGACGTGACAAAACTTCCTGAGACAGCTACAGATTTAATAATGAGAGGGGCAAACTAAAACTTTAAAAAATCCATCACTTAGAGAATTTAGCTGAAACTCCCTTGATGTGTGGTATTGAGTAGTCTGAAATGGGACTAGTACAGGGAGCTGCTCCTGGGATGTGCTGCATATCCAGAGGAAACTGCAATGTGCTGCTGTTAGCTAGGAAAGCATCCTCCAAAATGGGACACTGCATTTCCTTCTCTCTGAGACATTACTCTGTAAGTAAAACAGAAAACTGAATTTCTGTTATTATAAATTCACCAATGCAAAGCCTGTTTCACACATGAAACCACTGCGTCTCAGTCCAGCATCTTAACTTTCTCTGTCGGTTGGTGGGGGACTGTTAGATAAAGATAAGATGATGAAGATTCAGTCAAGGTGAAATAGCATATTACAGCTTAACTCAGACTTCCCTGATACCATCAGGGCTGAACTTAACTGTTGGTTGCACTTTACTTTCTGGATGTAGTGGTGAAATACAGTCATTGAATTACCTTGAGTTACCCAGTTGCTGGGCAGTTCAGGTTTCTATAAAATGTGATTATGTAGCTGAAATACTAGAGAAAGTCATATATCAGCAACAGAGCTGGGTACATAATAATTAATTTGTGATGAGGGGCCTTTTGCTTCATTTTCTATTTGTAATTTTCACATGCAATTATCTGGTATTTTTTGTCAAATAATTTCTATAAATATTTTTCATATGCAGGTTATTGGATTGCAGTTTAATCAAAGTATCTGATATTAGAAATTCAGAAGGGACTTTTGCTATTGGACATATCAGTCATGTGGGTTTTTCCTAATTGGTTGAGGATATCTCTCAGAATCTGCCTGCTAGTAAAAATAATAATAATTACAAATGCAAAGTCATCACTGCATTGATCATTCATGCCAATAAACCAATATGCTGGAATATTTGTGGAAAGCAAACACAAAAAGGATGTGAATAGTTAATTACAGCTCATTCATTTGAGCAACTATTTGCAAAAAATGCTTGGGAATGTTCCACAAACAGTAGCCACTGTTATCTTCTTCCCTCTCCTGTCTTTGAGCCTCTTTGTCTGTTGAAAGGCAGATGCTGGCATTCAGTTGTCTTTTCAGGACTCATCAAAAAGCCATATGCAATGTGAAAATTCAGGTAATAACACTTAAACAGAAATATAAAATAATTAAGTAGTAATCCAGTATAGAGTTCAGAATGATGGTTTGCACTGCCCAGTATATACTATTTGCTTGTAAAAAAATATTTTAGATGAATGTAATATATACATTAGCTAATTTTACAAGATACAGATACTCAACTCTGGATAGATTTTCCCCAAATCCCTGGTGACTCCTTAAATGAATCACAAAAATTAAAGTGAGATTTATAGTAACTGTCTTATAGTTTGGAATTCCTAGTAGAAGACATATATCCCTTTATTTCAATGTATAGATACATGGCTTCTCTGATCCTTTTTACAGATGATTTCCAGTTACCACATGGCCTGATTCAGAGAGTTATCCATTCTGCTTCAGTCATTAAAGTAGAATTGGAAGAAAAACTACTTGATCTCCATCCATACCCAAACATTTCTGCCTCGCCAGCAAGAATTCACTGATTCCTCTCGATAACTATATTATAAACCTGACTACATTGGGCATCAAAAAACTGAAGATACAATCTACATGATATTTACATACATTTGCATACATTTGCCTAGCCAGAATATATAGCTATTCTGATTTTCACATTATAAGAGAGCTAATGGAAGTATTGTCTGTTCCTTTGGTGCGCCTTTAGCTTTCTTTTTTTTCTTTTTCAGACATCAGTTTTGTGCACAAACTTTCTAAGTTGGCCCTGTGTCCCAGCTCTGCTTTTACTCAGCCATCTTCAGAGATTTTTTTTCAGTTTTTGTCCTCACCTTGACTTTACCCTCACTACACAGCTTTTTCATCCCAGCAGGGTTCTTTAAAACATCCCACTTCACCATTATTAATCCATGTGGAGCATTTGCACTGTTAACTTGTAGTGGACTCACTCAGCTTTGTCCTCCACAGTCCAAGATCTCCTCTCCAGTTCTTCCTCCACAGCTTCTTATGTGTTTTACCATCACTGTGAAGGCAAAACAGAACAGCAGAACAGAACGGGAGGACAAGATTGGTGCTGCACTCCCTGGACTTTGGTTGGCTCCATTTTGATAATTTCAGTAGTTTTTCCATTTTTTGTCAACACAGCCATCAAAAAAGGTGTGGTCAGTGACATTCAGCTACCATCCCAGGTTTCTCTGACTAAGCAAAAAAGCTACAGAACTTATCAAAGAGTTGCTGGAGAATAGAGTTTCAAGTTTATCTGTGTAGTCAAATTCATTCCATGCAGTTTTCACCTCTTAAATTTCCTAGCAACAGTCTGATCAGATGAAGAGGTTACTACAAGAAAACCAACCAGGAGGACAGGTTATTAGAGGGGGGAAAACAGGGAAATGTTTCTTCTTAAAAACTAGGAAAACCCCCCTCAGGATTTAGATATATGAAGTCTATGCTAAAATAAGGAGAAAGTTGTTAATAAGTAACTGTGGTTATTGTAACCCTCATAGGAACAGAAAGGCAAAAATCAGCCTCTGAGTACTTTTCCTTGGACTCAAAATCACACTGGATAAGACTTATAATTTCTGTAGGGACGTCCATACCACAGTTAGAGGTGTGCTCTGAGTTAGGCTAAGAGCAGTAATATTCTTTAAGGGAATCTGTTTTCTTAGTCAGGCCTTCAGCTGAGTCTAGCTGCCAAAGCTAATCATGTTGTTTTTCCCCTAGAGCCCTGATTCAGTCAATTCAGGGGCAAAGATTTTGTATAGAATTTCTTCCCCAATTAGAGATTTCCAGAGACTGGTTTCAAGTGGCTAATGAGAATGTACAGGGATTATAAACACACTTTCTTCTGGTTATTTGGGATATGATTAATCCTATTTCCTGACTTCAGAGCACTAATATGTATATAATGAATTCTTTCTACTGTTGTCCTAATTTTCTTTAGATTTCAGGTATGAAAAAGGGGGTAAAAAAATGAAGTTGAATTAGAACTACATTTGGCATTAAACAATTTGGTTGGAGTCAGGAAAATGGCTTTGAAAGGATTTTTCTGTTCACAAACTACTTGAGCTTACAAAATAGCCAGTGAAGGCTTAAGAACCTTATGGCAAATTCTCTGCTGAAAGTAGTTTTATATATTCCTTTTCTCATACTGTCACCAAAAGTGAATGTATGTATTCTTGCATTAACAGTTTAAAGGCAGACTGAAGCAGAGCTGCAGGAGAAGCAGTTATCAAAGTTAGGGTTAAGTAGCTCATTGCTGCGAGCTCTGCAAAAAGATTGTGCCTAGTGTTTGTTCTGTTTCCATTTTTAAATTGTTTCTTAATGAATTTAGGTGAAATCTAACAACAGAATCCCATATAACCCTTATCTAAAGAAACTAAACCCCGAAAACTTGTCATTATTGGTAGACTAAAACCTCTGAGGGGGAAAAAAAATATTGCAAAATTACTGAACAGTGTATAATTATGGGCTAGCCAGGTCAACAGAAGTACTGGAGGAGTGCCATAAATTCTGCTACTTGTGAATGTATCACCTAAGTATATATCTATTTAGGAAAGAATTAAAAGTAATTTAAGTGCCTATATACAGATAGTTCCTCCTTTTGTATGATAGGCTTTCTTGAAGATAATTTAGGAAGAAGTCTGTAGGATTTAAAAAAATATGTTTTCCTTTTAGGAAATGCCTTGAAATCCTTCTTTGTATTATTTTTGCTTTGGGAAAAAAAAAACAAAAACCTCAAAACCAATCAACCAGCCAACCAAACAAAAAAAAACAATTTTTTGTTTGTATGGATATGCTCTGTGCTGAGACAAAATCAGAGAACATTTTCTGCTACTTATTATACCTGATCTTTTCTTCCACCGACCTATAACATCAGCTGGTGTCCTCTCCCAGTCTCTAGTCAGGACTAAGTGAAGGACAAAGAGGTTGTAAAATGCCTTACTAGCTAGAGCTGTTAACTTTTGTGCAAGGTAACTGTTCTAGCAGATCTAAGACTTCAAGAACAACTGTTCTGTTTGTGTGCACATATGCTTCTATTTTTCTCTGTATATGCAATACCACAATTATGAGCCTCAATTACTGTTACTTTAAAAACTTAAACTATGGATCTGCTCCAATTTTTCTAAGTCTAAAACTGTCAGCCAGTGCTTAAATTGCAGACTCTTTCTGACAAATGCCCATTTATGAGATACATTACAGCATGGTTCACATCCACCTTCAGTGAAACAGAGTGAAATAATCTAACTGATTGCAGAGGTTAATTTGGTCCATATACTTTGTCAATAGCAGGTCTGAGGAAAATTAGCACCAATAATTACAATACTGGTGTAAGTCATTAATCTTATTAGAGTGATTTTTAGCAATTTAAGGACTGAAGGATCATGTATGTCAGAACTTCAGTAATATCCTTGGCTTTTAATAA